GGTGGTGTCCCAGTGGTGTCCCGTGTTGCAGTGGTGTCCCGGTCGTATCCCAATCCTGTCCCGCTTGTTTCTTCGATGCTGGTGCCGGGATTGTGGGGAGGTTGGTGTCCGGTCGGTGAGGTGGTTGGTGGGGTTGTGGTGGTCGTTGGGGTCGTGGGGTGTTGGTCGTCCGGTGGTGGGTGTGGTGGAGTTGTTTTGGGTGGTGTGTTGTTCGGTGATGTGTACAGTGCCTTCTGTGTTGTAGTGATTGGTGTTTCGGTTGTTGCTTCTCCCCGTCTCCTGAGCTGCCATGATGTGAGCAAGCATCTAAATGGTAGCCTGTTGTAGCAGTACTGCAGAAGGAAATGAGGGCAATGAGCTGAGGAAGCGATACCTAATCCCAAAAGCGGATACCTCCCACGATGATTTGGGTAAGCCTGAGTCAGGGGGAACGTCGATTCCAATACCAGACTGTGCTACGATTGGATGAAAATCCGGCCGGCTCAAGGGAACGGCGATTCCAGTATTAGGCTTGTACTACCTTGAAATGAAAATCGAGCCGACTCGCGCAAGCCCATGTGGCACTGCAGCACACACGAGTTGGCGATGCCCCAGTGTGGAATGTAAGCAGGTTCCCTGAAGAAGCGATACCTAATCCCAAAAGCGATACCCCTTGTCTTATTTCCGCTTTGGAGCCTTTGAATTCAGCCGCCCGCTCATGTGCTTGCAGAATTGTTTGATTGTTTGTGATTCAATTGCTTGTTGTTACTTCCGGTCAGCCATTCTCCAAAGGGCATGACATGGCGCATCTTGTTGAAGTATGGTTTTCCACAGTTATCCCGCAACGAGCACCTTTTTCCTGGAAGCACATCTCTTCAGCAGTTCCTATACTTGTGCGGTTTGGTTGTAGGAAGGCCTGCCATGCCCATGCTGCCCGAAGCATGGCGCCGAGTTACAAGGACCAGTTGCTGACAGCGCTTGAATCCACTTGATGCGTGGAGGGTCGTACATGCATTGAGGGACTCAGGGTTGTTCTCTCGAGGGGCTCAAGCTTCAGTAGTTTGATCTCGTTGTGGCCTTGTAGAAACAGAGCCGCAATTTTGACGACGATGCCAGGGCTTCGTCTGAAATCCTTCCGCGTGGACACTGCTCCAAATGTTTCGTGCAACATCAGGTTCTTCGGAGTCACGACAATTTCAGATCTTCCTGGAAAGTCGTTATGGAGCAAGTGGGTAGCAACCTGCATTGATGAGCATGGGGACACAGCAACAGTTAGCCGCAAGTTCTTCGGAGAAAAGCAGCGTGACACAATGCAGGCCTTTGCGAAGAAGTTCCAGGAGGGATCCACTTGGGCTTGTAATGGGAAGTGCGAGAAAGGGAAGGGCTTCAAGGCCTGCAACAAAAATTCCAAGTACTCGGCTTCGACCTCGCCCGTTGACTTGGAAATCGTGGACAACACAGCGCTAACCCAGTTGCCCAGTGATCAGATCAAGTGTCCAATCCGGCCCTCAATTCGGCTGTCAATTAAGGATATCCTGGAGAAGGATATGGAGCAACGCGTGGACATCATGGGCTTGGTGACCTCAGCAGGCTGGGGATTGTAAGGGCTTCTCATCTTGCAGCCCCATAAAGAGTAGCCGAATCAGCTCTGCGCTAGATTGTCTTTCTTGTTGCCCTTGTCGGTGTGTCTTGGCATGGTTGATACTTTGCTTATATCGCTTTGTGGCAGGGGAGATGGTGCAGAAGGATTGCAAGCGCAAGGAGGGCTCCTCGCAAAGCAGAGAGCTTTTGCGCCTCCGTCTCCTGGATGACTCTGAGGTGGATTGCACTGTCAGTGTGTGGGGAGAGACCGCCAAAGCATTGTCGCAGAAGCCCCTTCAAGGCTCGGCAATCGCCATGTACCGTCTGAAGCTAAAAGTCGATGGCAACAGCAAGGAATTAACGACGGCCGAGGATTCCTATATCCTGCTCTTGGATTCTGCAGATGGTGTCAGTCAACGCGAAGATAAGATCATCAACGGCAAGGAAACCATCTTGGGAGCTGGCGCCAAATCGTGTGCCACGATGTATGAGGGTGGCGCCGATGTCAGCGGGGAGCTGAGGGTGATTTGCCTCCGATCCTTAGCCTTGGCCGCTGAGCTGAAGATCCAGTTGCAGGAGCGTTGCGATGCCCATGTTGTTTGTTCATGCGTAGCATTAGGTTATCTGAAGTGTTGGCTATCTTTGTCCGCAGGAATCGGCTTGGCAGGTGGAGGCCTGCATTTGGGAGCTGGAAGACCCAGAGAATGTCGTGGGGTCGCACGGAAGATTGTGGGCAAGGGTCATGTTGCGAGATGCTTCGGGCGAGCTTCGTCTCTTCGTCAGCGAAGAGGCTTTGCTGAGTATGACCGGGGCGGCTAGCAAAGATGAGTTCTTGGAGCAGCTCAGTTCGGACACATTGCCACGACGTCGCATTTCAGGGCGTATTCACCGTAGTTTGAAAACTCTCCACCGCGGCACTTCAGAAGAGAAGGAGGTGGTCAATCTGACGCTGTTGGCTGCGGCTCCAATGTTCATCGTGCCGGGGGATGGCAAGGAGGCCTACAACCGCTACCAAGACTCAGCCGCGTTCGCAGACTCTGGCGGCATCCTGCCGACCATGCTGTCGCAAATCCAGACTAGCTCGGATGGCTGTGGACTTCGTGTCACGGATCTCGATGGCCAGAAGTCCGTGGAGGTCACAGGCGGCACACTCAGCCTCCTTCAAGTCACGGCGGCGTGCAAGCCGGTGCAACAGCATGGAGTGACCTCGCTACAATTCTCGAATGTTGTCGATTTGGTTGGCAAAGCGCGTGGCGTGGCTGCCAGGCCGAACCAGGCGGTTGTGTAAGAAATCAGGAGACCATACGTTAGGATGATCAGAAGTCAAAATAGTAACACGTTAGTGTATAGTGCTGTTTGATGTAGGGATCGAAGACGCTGTGTCGTAAAACCCCAGGTGTTGCTCCAGATACCGCTCGGGCAAATGTTACTACAACAGGTCCAGAAGGGCGGCGTGGCGCTGTTTCATATTACAAGTGTGGAAGGCGAGCCTCAGGAGTTCCTCGCTCAGGCTGTTTATCGCCCGGCGGAAGAAGTTTCTGCGGATACCATGGATGCGATGGTTGCAAACTTCATCGCTGAAATCCAGGCTGCTGAAGGCGTTGTCAGCAAAAGACGTCCGCTGAAGCGCAAAAGGGAAGGCATCGAGCCTGAGACCATGAAGGAAATTGTCTCACTTTGTTTCACTCCTGAGTCCAAAGTCACAAGGAAGGCGAGCAATCTGAACACTCCTCCGTGGAGTGTGTGATGCTTGTTGTTGAGCCCGCTTTTGTCAAGAGGCTTTGATTGCAGTTCACCGCCCTATTGAACAGGCCACCAAACAGTGTTGAGAATGTTGCGACAAGGCAGGGACTGCCCGGCAATGCAATCATGGCCGAGGGGTTGATCCAAATGTCTCCAGGATCGTAGGGGTATCTGGCAGCCATGCGCTGCGATGAAAATAGCATGCGCTGGCGTCTGCTGGGTGAGCGTGCTTGTGCATGGACTTGAGCTGTTTCCAGAGCATGACCTCAGTTTCTATGATCCTGCAGGACATTGGACATGGTGTGGTCTACATCGCGCACTGGGAGGCAAGGTCTTGATTACCATCATGTTGACAATGCAGCACATGGGCTGGAACTCGTAGAGCCTGGAGTGCAAGAGCAATGGTGTGTTCATGTCTTGCGTGGAATGTGCGGCATGCGCATTGAGAAGTGGGCTTTTTTCGCGTCGGATTGAAGATGGGAAGGCCAGAGGAGGATGTCGACAGCACGTGCCCTCAGAAGAATGCCTCTCCCAGGACACTTGCAGCTGTATCTACTCGATGCCCGTATCCAGCTTGCTTGCCATTGTAGATTTTGTTTGGAGTTGTTATGGGCCAGAATGACTACATAAGATCATGCTTCTAAGCGTAAAGTGCGGTGTGATCGATCCATCTTCCAACAATCTAAGCCTCCAAACCCGCCCTCATATGGAAATTGTTATCAGCCACAAAGAATTACACAACGGGAGTGTTCGATGGCCCTACAGTGTGATCAACCCACCCTTCGACCTTGAGACTGGGCGCTGCAATGCAATCATGGCCATGGGGGTTATCCACATGTTTCCAGGATCGTAGGGGTATCGGGCAGCCATGCGCTGCGATGAAAATAGCATGCGCTGGCGTCTGCTGGGTGAGCGTGCTTGTGCATGGACTTGAGCTGTTTCCAGAGCATGACCTCAGTTTCTATGATCCTGCAGGATATGGGACATGGTGTGGTCTACATTGCGCGCTGGGAGGCAGGGTGTTGACAATCCACCGCATGGCCGGGCGTGCAGAGTCTGGAGTGCAAGAGCAATGGTGTGTTCATGTCTTGCATGGAATGTGCGGCATGCGCGTTCGGAAGTCAGTTGATTCGCATCGGATTGCAGATGGCCAGGCGCGAGGAGGATGGCGACAGCGCGCGCCCTTGGAAGACTGCCTCTCCCAGGACGCTTGCAGCTGTATTTACTCGATGCCAGTAGCCTGCTTGCCTGCCATTATCGATTTTGTTTGGTGCGGGGTTGTTATGGGCCAGAATAAGCTGTCCATGCTGTCCCCCGCGCGCGCGCGCACACAATTTTTGTGGCCTGCTCTCAGGAAATTGGACGCCTTGGCTGCTACTTCAAGCCCAGGGAGGCCGCGTTTTGTTT